AACAAAAGACAGTAAAAAACTACTTATTGAATAAATAATTAGCATTAATTAATAAAATTAATCATTAATATAACAAATATTTAATTAAATTTCACGTACTATATACTTAGAATTATATAATCAATTGAAAAAAAAAAAGAGCGGCTTTGGGGGGGGGGGTTCCGGACCCCTATGACACCCCCCTTGTGTGCACCACTGCAAGATACAATAGCACTTAAATTAATTACGAAACTATATTTGTCATATATAGAGTTTCATTATTAAACATTCTTCTAATTGTTTATTTAAAACTCCTCTATTGTCTATTTACCGGCATCTCACCAAAAACTACATAAAGTTGCAATGACATAAACATTGTCAGAATTGAAAATATGTATGACAATAAGATAACAATGCTTCGAATCAGTTTTAATGAAGCAATTACCACAACACAACCATAAATAAAAAAAAAATATTACCAAAGCGGAACACTTATTTGCAATCAAATGACACAATTTACACTTACATAACACATACAAATGAGTAAACACACTAATCAAAACCTCAACTCCAACGCAAATAAAGTGCTATCTAAGTGGGTCATAATCACAGCATAGAAAGTAATAAATAACTAGATGAAAAACAACAAGAGCATTTATTCGTCAGTTTGAACGAGATTATTATTAATAAAAACAGAAATAAAAGCAGCCGGTAAAATGACCCTAAAAAACCCTAAAACTTGCCAAGCGTCCTTCACGAAAAACGTTACGACTTCCAAAAAACCAACTCGCTTGCTCGGCCTTGACCTTATAAATACACAGGTCGTCATATGGTATGTGGAAATTTTTTGGTTTTGTTTTTCGGGCTCAGTGCTTTATATTTCTCTTTGCAACGTCAAACGGGTTTTGTTTTTGTTTTTTCGTGCCTTTTCAGTTCCGCATCATATGCATTATGCTATGTGATTACCACTCTGTAGGGAAAAGAATGAATTGAATTCTACTTCCCCCCCACACGTTTTTATCCCTCCCTTTTTGCAGTTAGGAGAAAACAGATACGGTTAGTGACTGTTAAAATTATCCACCTACGTTTCTCGCCCCCGTTTCTTTCTTTCTTTTAAATTTTAAAACAATGTATATAATTACTTGCTTTCAGTTGGATAGTGGAATAATGATATCTTGTGTTTCATTTTTAGATAGCTGAAATCAAGTGAGGTGTATATTCAAGAATTTTATTTCAAGCTACATTTCTGTACATTAAACAAAGAATGAAGGCATTGAAAATCTTTTTTAAAAAAGCGAAGATGTGTTAGTTTTAATTAATGTTTTATCTTTAGTATGTGGGTTCCTTTTTATCCTTCCATATAATGGATAATATTAAAAGCTTCCATATTTGTTTTTTAAACTATTATTCAAGTATTATTTTTTTAATAAATGTGAAAAGTATTCTTTTAAAGATTTATTGTACATCCTCTTTGTTTTGCGTAATTAAACTATAAAACTTAACAATTAAATAATATTCTAAATGTAAAAAAATCATCATAATCTACACTTCTATTCATAATTAAATCTTAAATATCAGATTGCAAATAAAAATATAATAGAAAGTATACCAAATTGCAATAAGCATAAAAGTATCTTATTTCTAGCGAGAGAAGGAAAAAAAAGTTTAATTATTAATTATTTATAAATCAATTTCTAAAACCTGTTTCAATTTCCTAACGTGAATGATTTCTTTGAATGTCAAAAAGAAAAGAAAAAAAAATTATCAAAAATTAAATTCAAAATTTTTTCAAAAGAAACACACAATAACTCTAAGCATGTTTTTATGTACGTCAGTTTTATATATATCTTTCCTTCAATTTTTTTTTTTTTTTTTTTTT